TCCATTTGAAAAAATTGAGTTCCACTCATTTTTTCATGAGATCAAAGTATCTGCATTTTTTGAAGACCCTGTATGAGGCAAATGAAAATATGACTCGGAGTGAAGATCCTCATAGTATCATTCCACTACATTTCAAATTTGATCGTTTTAGTGCAAGAGAGTTCAAGAGTATCAGCATTTATAAGAGTTCATGTTTGGTAAAAAAAATATCGAAATTAATTTATATCTTCTAAACGGTAATAGATAGGTATAGGAAAATGGTATATGAATTCGTTGACAAAGTGATAATGAATCATAATATGATATTATATACGGGGTGTTCCATTTGAAAAATCAAAGAAGCCGCTACTTTATAGTAGAAGCGACAACGCCGCTTCGTCTGAAATATTTTAGGCGTGTAGGTCATATTGACTTATGCATACTGTGGAATTTACAGGTTGATCTGTTGAATAGTTTGCCAGAAACGGCTAATTAACGCTCATCATGAAAAGCCCTGTATATTTGATTTTTATGGAATTATTTTCCATTATGCATTATGCATTAACCTAACCTAACCTAACCTTTCTCGATTTCATATCATTTCTAGAAACATGTGTATTCGTTTTCCTATGACATTCCAGGTTATCTTCCCGAATTTCTGCTACCGCAGTTGTCAGTTGATTGGTCAAACCACCAACACTGACATGAAAACATGGCAAGGTGAGTTGGGTGTCACGCCAATAGGTAGTTCCACTTATGTCTCGCTTACGTTAACGCAGTTATTTTTATTGAGTACTTTTCTTGGTTATTCACATTTGGTCCTACGACCCCTCCCGATATAGAAGGCCTCGACACTGTCGAATGAGGCCCCTATATCTTCCGTTGAATGATGAACAACGTTTTCATCCAATTCACCCTAGTCAGGCAGGGGTACACCGTGAAGGGCGGTACTGATGTCTAAGGACATTCATGCCGCCATACCATCAACACTCACCATCAGTCATGAACCGTTTGTCCTTCTGACAAACATCAGTTCAAAGGGTAAGGGAGCCAGGCTCCAACCTGTCTAAATTCAAGATGACTTCCAACACATTTGGTCCTGAGTTCCGTTTTGACAGCGGAACAGCGCTGACGTATCTGAGTGATCGGGTGTGTTTTCCCCAGTTTTCTGGTTGATGATCAGCCGTAGTGCAGTGTTTCTGGCTTGAATAGTTAGTGCGTTGTGTTATATTGTGCAGGATAAAAACACTTCTGGTGAGTACGTTTGAATATTATCATTTTCGTTCTGTTCATTGTGCTCACGCCTGATAAGTGTCAATTTGCGTTAAAAAGTCTCATAGCAGTATGGAGGAACTGCTTCGCGGTCTGGCTGGCAGGGAAAAAGCCGAGATTGTTAGCATTGTATGCCAACTAATCTCGTGCTTCGGCCTGAGTCAGTCAGATTTGCATGGCAGTGCATTGCCAGTACCTGGGGCCAGCCGTCAAAATCTGACAGATGAGAATCAGGGAGTAGCTAATGCTCCTACCGACAGTGAGAATTCTCACTAATCAGTCATGACCCATTCGTCCCTCTGACGAAAATCAGCCCAAAGGGAGCAAGGCTCCAGCCTGACATAAACGACGATGACCATCGACACATTTGGTCTTCAATCGAGGACCGCCTGCCCGGTACTGACGTTGCTCAATAGGCTGAAACAGCTGTATAGCGGTGGCTCTTAAATTGAAATCAATATGAAAATGATCAGAATAGTACTTATCCGTCAATCTTTCGATTTTCATGCAATTATTTTCCAGCAGCTTGACTGCATTAACCTTTCTCGATTTCATATCATTTCTAGAAACATGTGGATTCGTTTTCCGATGATATTCCAGGTTACTTTCCCAAAATTCTGCTACCGCAGTTGTCGGTTGATTGGTAGAACCACCAACACTGACATGAAGTCTTGGCAAGTTGACTTGAATGTCACACCAATAGGTTGTTCCACTTATGTCGCGCTTACGTTAACGCAGTTATTTTCATACGGTACTTTTCTTGGTTATTCACATTTGGTCCTACGACCCCTCCCGATATAGAAGGCCCCGACACTCTGTCGAATGAGGCCCTTATATCTTCCGTTGAAAGATGAACAACGTTCTCATCCAATTCACCCCAGCCAGGCAGGGGTACACCGTGAAGGGCGGTGCTGATGTCTGAGGACACTCATGCTGCCATACCATCAACACCCACCATCAGTCATGACCCGTTTGTCCTTCTGGCAAACATCAGTTCAAAGGGTAAGGGAGCCCGGCTCCAACCTGTCTAAATTCAAGATGACTTCCACCACATTTGGTCCTGAGTTCCGTTTTGACAGCGGAACAGTGCTGACGTGTCTGAGCGATCGGGTGTGTTTTCGTCAGGTTTCTGGTTGATGATCAGCCGTAGTGCAGTGTTTCTGGCTTGAATAGTTAGTGCGTTGTGTTATATTTTGCAGGATAAAAACACTTCTGGTGAGTACGTTTGAATATTATCATTTTCGTTCTGTTCATTGTGCTCACGCTTGATAAGTGTCAATTTGCGTTAAAAAGTCTCATAGCAGTATGGAGGAACTGCTTCGCGGTCTGGCTGGCAGGAAAAAAGCCGAGATTGTTAGCATTGTATGCCAACTAATCTCGTGCTTCGGCCTGAGTCAGTCAGATTTGCATGGCAGTGCATTGCCAGTACCTGGGGCCAGCCGTCAAAATCTGACAGATGAGAATCAGGGAGTAGCTAATGCTCCTACCGACAGTGAGAATTCTCACAAATCAGTCATGACCCATTCGTCCCTCTGACGAAAATCAGCCCAAAGGGAGCAAGGCTCCAGCCTGACATAAACGACGATGACCATCGACACATTTGGTCTTCAATCGAGGACCGCCTGCCCGGTACTGACGTTGCTCAATAGGCTGAAACAGCTGTATAGCGGTGGCTCTTAAATTGAAATCAATATGAAAATGATCAGAATAGTACTTATCCGTCAATCTTTCGATTTTCATGCAATTATTTTCCAGCAGCTTAATTGTATTAACCTTTGTCAATATTTCAATATTAACATTAGTTCACAAAAAGGATTTGAAGCTATAATAACGTGTGTTACTAGGTTTGAATCATATGTTATTGGTTTTATGTAAACTTTTTTGTGCTCATCGTATCTTTGGGTCAGTTTTGTCTTGGTTTGGCCGATATAGAATTTGTCTGAGTCGAATAGTCTGAGCGTTGTATGCTGTACACTCCGTTTAGGTTTTGGTCTTCTCCTTCATAGCTGTTTTCACGCCATACAAAACAAACATAACTTTTCCCCACCAGAAAAAAAAATCTGTTTGAAATATGTTTTTCCGTTAACCAGCTGTTGCACCCCTACCAACGACAACCCTCAGAAGTTGAAACTTGTGCTAGCTAAGGATTAACAAGGTCTTACCCTTTAACGTGTCATTCCCAACACGGCAGTCAATTCGAGTGAGTGAACAAAGCACCCACGTCAAACTGCCTAACTGCCGACCGAACATCAAACTCATAGAACAAGTCAATAAAGGAAACCGCATGGACATCTGGGAAAACCTAAACATCCATAAATTCAAAAATCCCAATTCACTTATCGAGGAACAAATGAAAATCAAAACACGAGATCTAATATTCAATATACTTCACAAAACAAAACACATTCCTTGAAATAATGAACCTAGAGAAACACCAACACAAAGTATATTACAAGGAAAATTTAAAGAGTCATCCGGATGAATGGAGATGACAAATACTTGCACAAAGGCGTTCTAATCGTATGAAAGAACAAACAAGATGATAAAGTTACATTGGAAATAAATTTCAGGGGTTGCGTTTTCCACCCCTTTCAACCATAGGGTTAACTAAATAAATTTCTGGCTAAGTGTCTTTTTGATACTACAAAACGTCAGGTTAATTTCAATATTGTAACTTTTTTAGTGCTTGTGAGAAAAATTGTTATACAAATTATATGTACCCCCTTTAAGGGGCTGTATCTTAACAAAGAATGTTCCAATGAAATTTCTTTATATATGATTTAGTTATTTCTTTAATATGTTCATTCCATCTGAGTCGTTGATATACAATAAAAAGAGAGTTGGAGACAATATGGATCCCTGGGGAACACGAGAGTTGATGGTGCAAGTATTCGAGAGATATCCATCGAACTGAAAATCAAGAATCAAGAATTGAGAATAAGGAAATAAAAATGGAGAATTAGGAATCGAGAATTAAGAATCAAAAATTGAGAATAAGGAAATGAAAATGGAGAATTAGGAATCGAGAATTAAGAATGAAAAATTGAGAATGAAGAAGTGAGAATTAT